GAAAGGGAGAAATATTTGTAAAAGAAAGGACCATGCTCCCCCTGCTGGTGAACTTAAATTTGCAGGCCAGGTCTGCAGTAAATTCAGTGGGCACCACCAAGTCTGCTAAAAAGGAGGTAGATTGGACCATCATCAGTGGTGTGGTAAGAGAAGAATCAACCATCCAAAACTTCCTAATTTGAACTTGTGGAAAATTTTCAAATTACGGAAGAATGCAGTAGCCTGAAACTGACTAAACGTCCTGCACAGCCTCAGTCTGTTTAGTCCAGTGTGCAAATGCTTGAAATTTGAATGCTGAGTAAGAGGTAAGTCACACTGGAGTGAATGCTTTCAGATGAAATAAGGTAACGGCAGAGGAAGCTCTCACGGAGATAAGCAGTCGAGGGAAAAAAACTCATGAAAATTTTAAGGTAAAAAAGAGCAAGTCATTGAGGCCACTTCCTGAACAGCTACACGACCTCAGAAGCTCTTCTTCAAATTGTCAGTAACGGCATATCTCAGTGAAAAATCTCAGCTCTTGCTTATGTAGCTGATTATCTTATTTAGTTTCAGACTGTTTATTCCTCCATTTTTGGTTAAACTTAGAAAAAGAGAAAATAGTCTTTGCTAAGTAAAAAATCAGATTTCCAGTCTTCCCTCCAGCGATTTTCCAGTATAAAACTTCCCTTTGGGGTGGGTCACAGTGCAGTGACTGTTGGGAAATAGACAACGCGAAATCATATGAGTACTTAGTCACTGGTATGGCACATGGAGCTACAAAAAATTCCCCAGTAATGATGGCACACGCGGCCTGCAGTGTCACATCAATATGCAGCTTTGCTTGAGGCAGCCAGCCCCACACCCCATCTGTCCATATAGCAATTTCCATTTGCGATGCCATTAGATGATAAGACAACCAGGAAACCAGTCACACTGCACTTCCTGTCTGTTACCGTGACAACAGACCTCACTGCATTGTGATACTTGAATTTGGTCACATGCTTATGGGAAGTCCACGAGACAACCCATTCCGTTGACATACACTCGGACCAGAAACGTTGTTATGTTCTATACGTGATTTTAAAATGCAGTGCAATATTTTACACTTTTTTATGCAATGCACTCATTTAGAAGGACTGGTGCAGTGGCACAGAGCCCCCAGGGTTGCTGCTTAAAATTGTGCCCCCAGTGTGTGTGTGTGCATGTATGTATGTGTGTGTGTGTGTGTGTGTACGTGTACGTGTACGTGTTCCCCACAAGGGGAATTTTCAGTTGACTAGTTAAGTCAATTTTATAAAAGTCTTCGACTGCAATCAAAAAAACTAAAAATGCCGAAACACTTGTATATTATTTAGTTATTCACGGTTACAGTTAGGGCTGGGTAAGGGCAAAGGTTATTATTTTGGTATTAGGGTTTTCCCATAGAAATGAATGGGCAGTCCCCACAAAGATATGAATTTAGCCTGTGTAAACAGCCGCTGACTCTTAGGGTGCTTTCACACCTATAGTACGATTGCTTTAGTCCGCACCAGTCAGAAAAATGTTACAATGTAGTAAACAGACGTGGGTACGGTTTGCTTTCACATATGCAGAGTTCTAAACGAACCAAAATAGTGTCAGTGAAAAAATAGGTTGCTTACCGTCTACATCAGTGTCACGTTGGTCTGTCAGGTCAGACACAGCGTCGATGGATTCAAGTGGCGAAAGAGTTGAGCTGTCATTCTCCACAACATCCACCGGCTCAACGATAGGTTTTGTCCCGAGTATTCCATCCAAAGCGTCATACCAGGGAAGCTTGTCTTTCTCTTTTCCAGAAATTCCCGTCTTGCTAAGTGCATCACGCACTTCTATGTACTTCGCCCGAAGTTTTTTTGTCTTAATACGGCATTGTTCAACTGTCCGAGGATAGCCTTTCTCCCTTAGCTGCTTACTGAACAGCGCATAAATGCAGCTATTTTTATGTGTCGTGGACAGTTGCTTTTGGATATGCTCATCCGACCATATATCTATGAGGCACTTAATTTCTTCGGCACTCCACGTTTCTCCGCGGTTTGATTTCATCGCGAGTCGATAGCTTGAAAAATTTAATGGAGTCAACAGGAAGTGGACCAAACACGTTTGGTGCGCACCAAATGCTGTAGGTGTGAAAGCTCTCTTTTTTACCCCTAGTGTACCAATTGATGAAATGGCATCCCATCCCGGGGGAACCCCAGCCTTGTGCCCTGCACAATATCATATTTTAATTTAACCCTCTTTAATCAAAATTGTATTGACTCACTATGCATTTGCCACCATATTCTTTAGTACATCTACATAAGCCCCTGAGATGCAGAGATTCTGGAATTTCTGCCTTGCGTTTTTGGATGGGGAAGGTTGCCGAACTGCAATATATGCAACCTTGCATAGATTTTCAGTTGACTAGTTAAGTAAGTCACTTCTCCTACTTTATTCCCTCTACCACAAGAAGTGCCCCTGGTCCTTACTGCTGAGAAACATCCCAAAAACACTGTTAGTTCATCTCAGGCGCTCCTTGCCTACAGCTAAAGAGATTGTTATCCTTATCAAACCAAAGAATCTTTCGCCAAATCATCACAAGCTCCGCCGGACTGCAGTCTTTCATCTAGTCCCCAGGACTGCTTTGCAAGGTAGAAAGGCGACACCTCTGCGGCTCTGAAGAGATTCTTCTCTCTTAAATAAGTTCTGCCATCTCAATTATGCAACACAGTTGCTCTGTCAGGGTAATTTCTAGATCCTCGTACACAACTCAGTTTGAACTACCTTCTTATAGTGTTGGTCAGTTTTGAGAAAATGAGCTTCTCTCAAATCTTGGTTCTTCCACATTAATATCATTACTTGGCATTAAATTTGACTAATAAAACAACTTTTTAATACCCTTTCATAGACCTGTGCCTTGTATCCTTGTATGGAGATGTCTATGATAATCATAACAAGGTTATTATTGTACTAATACTTTTTTCAGTGGCAAATCAATAGGAAGAAGTTAAACCAGGGGCCTCCATGGGAAAAAAGGGCCTCAACCCCCCCCCACCCAATCACATATTACCCTTGATACACTCTAGTCTACAATTTTTACTGTCGTCACCCCCCTTCCCCTGGATATAACCTCTGACCATATTAATGTGTCTCTGGTTCCCCTTCAAGCTCCAATCCTGGCTCCTGAATTGCAGATGCTCTGCCACTGGGATGGAACAGGTATCCCAGCAAGCCTCTCGGGGATACTGGGAGCTGCCCAGAAAGCAAACGGTCAGGCCAATGTGCCAGTTTCCTCTCTTGTTTTTGGTTTCCCATCTGGGAGATATCAAAGAGACCTCCCAGAGTAGAGAGGAAGCAGTCTGTCTGCGTGGCACCTTATCCAATAGTGGCTCCCACCCCTGAAAGCAGACAGCATCACAGCAGAGGCAAGAGAACCAATGAGTGAGAGAACAAGAGTGACAGAGACTGAGTGACAGTGAATCCAGACATGAACCTCTTCAGCAGCATCATGATGAGCCCATAGCATCATTCTACATATCCATGTTGCTGGGACTGCAGATGCATTGGCCAGGTTTACTGATGGTTGGCATACAGGGGCCCAGCCTCACTCCACCGCCTCACTGACTCTTTGCATAGCTCTTTTGCCTCATTCTCCTGACAGTTGTTTCATCTTGACTTTGGGGTACACTCTGAGGTACACCCTGGGGTACACTCTGAGGTACACTCTGAGGTATACCCTGAGGTACACCCTGGGGTACACTTTGAGGTACACCCTGGGGTATACTCTGAGATACACCCTGAGGTACACCCTGGGGTACACCCTGAGGTACACCCTGGGGTACACCCTGAGGTACACCCTGAGGTACACTCTGAGGTATACCCTGAGGTACACCCTGGGGTACACTTTGAGGTACACCCTGGGGTACACCCTGAGGTACGCCCTGGGGTATACTCTGAGGTACACCCTGGGGTACACCCTCAGGTACACTCTGGGGTACACTCTGAGGTACACCCTGGGGTACACCCTGAGGTACACTCTGAGGTACACCCTGGGGTACGCCCTGGGGTATACTCTGAGGTACACCCTGGGGTACACTTTTCAGCTCCCCTTATTTGTTTCTTCACTGGCAGTTTTACTGAAGGGACCATCTTGCCATGGCTCACATAACTTCTAAGGCAGTTCCTAGTGCCACAAGAGCAGCTTCTGCAGCTTTGTATTGCGAAATCGCAGCCCGCAGTTCCCATATCATAGAAGCCCAATTTCACAGCCTGGGTGATCAATAATGCAAGACATGTAGACTCTGTATTGTTCAACATTCACAAGGTTATACATCCTACAACCTATGTTGTATTGTTTAGCCTCCATGGAACAATACTTTTGAGATCCCTTACATTGACTTGGTCATGTGATCTGTGACACTTCCTCAACACCAAAACCCCCATGCCCTTGCATGGTGCACTGCTCTGGCGAAGACCCAGTCCAATTATATCAAAAAAAGGGAACAAGTCAAATGGCCGTTTCCTTGGCAACAAGGGGCAAGGCTGTCCGGCTGTGTCAAAAAGTTGTCCATATTGTGTAAAAATGACACTGAACGATTGTAGGAACTCTTTGATCAAACAGCCATTGTGGAAACTTGGTGCTATAGTCACTGAGGAAATGACTCTCAAAGTCAACCCTGGATATCACTGTCCAGTGGTGCTGTTATTATTATTGTATCCAAAGTGAGTGATTACAGGTTCATTTCCTGCCTATAATTCAGTGACTGGATTTGGGCACAGTGTTAGCAGATGGAGAGCAGAGGGCCAGAAGACAGAGTGCATTCCTGCGCTAAGAGGCTTACAGGAGGACCTGGGCCATTTCCTCCTGGAAAGGTGTAGCCATCGGGATGGGCAGATGTAGCAAACAACGTCACAGAGTAGACAAGAGAAAAGTAAAGCAAGAACATGAGAGAGAGAGAGAGAGAGAGAGAGAGAGACGTTCTAGGGGTGTGTCTTCTACAATTAGTTCCTCAAGGAAGTCTAGCTCAAATAGTCTTGAGCAAGAGCGTTTGCTGGCAGACGGAGCAGAAGAGTAGCAGCACAGGGGCTCAGGGGCCATTTCTGTCATCATAGCGGAGGGGGGCGGGGCTTGTAAACCGAAAACTCTTCAGAACTGAGTGGAGAACACAGCATTGTTGTGGGGAATTGCAGGCGGAGGAAGAAGCCGCGAAGAAGGCATTGGTAAGTGCGTTCCACCTGAACTTCGGTGTGCATGTGCTTGTGAGTCAGGGGACATGGTGGGTCTCTCTGTCTGCTGCTGCACAATCTTCTTGGCCTCACTTCCTCTCTCACTTGTGGTATGTTGCAAGATCACTTTTGTAACGATGCAAGGATTCAGTTCTTTCGACCAACGTTTGTTTAGTCGACCCTCCACTTTTTCCATGCTGTTTGCTGCCAGTGCTGCCGGCACTGGCTGTTTCGGAGCGGCGGACAGTGAGGGAACCATTTCTTTTGGTGATACTGGGTGTCTTTTCCAGGAAGGAAATCGTTGTTTAGCATCATACCTCTGTGGTAACTGTTCATCTGTATAAACAGCTCATTTGTGAGTGGAGTATGTATGTCGATTTGGATTAAAGAGGTTTGAGTAAATAGGCATGTGGGAGCACAATGGAAACATGGAGAGGCATGCTGTAAGTTGCAGGTTTTGCAACACATCCTGAAGCATGTGTCCCCATTCAGACTGTTACTTGGTGGCGTGTAATAATGGGCATGTCACTGTCAGGAAGGATAATTAATAAAGAGAGAGATTTTTTTGCTGATGCCCAATTGAATTGGAAATGTTTGGAACTCAGAACCTGAGGTGAATTTGCCTGAAGACAGGCTCCTGCAGAATGCTTCTTGCGGCCTGCTGTACCTCGGAGCGCTTTTCTGTGACAGCCATTTTCAGCATCAGCGAATTCGCCAAACTTGCCCATAGTGTGACTTCCTCTCTCAGCAAACACACATGGCATTTTTTTCCCCAGTTTTGCAAAACTTGCCAGCTGATGACCACAACAGCTCGCAGCCCTCTGTAACGTTCAGATCATCTGCTTGACGGCCTTCAACAATCCGTTTCATAGTCATCACGAGGGTCATGTGCTCTGACAGTCGCCGGACAGTTTTTGCATAAAGAATTAGCTCAGTCCATTAACTTGAGATTTGACCTAGCTTTTTATTTATTTGGTAGAGCAATCAATTGACAATCAAATTCTTATTCCAGGTTCTAAGGATAACGTTAGAACATGTGACGTGATGCATTATAATGCCGGTTACAGAGAGAATTGAACTGTTACTGTGTAGATGAAAGTCTGATCAGGGATCTCAAGTACCGGCCCATGGACCAGATCCGACCCGCGAGATGGTTCCGTCCAACCTGCAGCCTGTTTATTAATCATTGTTAAATGTGACTGGCTAATCAATTGAAAGACAACATAACGTCGGTTTGCTAAACAGTAGTGTTGGGCATTTCAGGTCCAGCAAGTACAAATGTGCACCAAGATTTTATTTCTACCACCTAGTTGAGTATATAGAGTCACAGTCACAGAGATCTCAACTGGTTGGTAGAACGCAAATTCCTGGTCTGAATTTGTACTTGCTGGACCTGAAATGCCCAACACGAAACAGTGGCGAAAAAATTTGCTAGCACCAAGCTCAATATCATTTTTTATACAGTTTTATTTTAATCTCTCAACTTAACCTCAAACTGAAGTAGCCCGCTTCAGCTGCGGCCCTCTCAAGTCTCTGCCTACCCCCCCATAGGGTTATTTGAGTTTGTGATCTCGGGTCTAACTTTGAGAGTGGTGTCCCCAGGCCATCCATCGCCAGGGTCACATGGTCCAGCTTGGGGCTGCATAGGACACCCCAAACTTCATCACTACTGATTCTATCTGTCAGACCTATCAGCCGCAAGCAGCTTTTCAAAGACAGCGTTGTTCCCCTGTCACCTCAGACCGGGACACCCCACCTCCCTCGTGGACTGATGCACTGCTCATGTGCTCATGCATACGCAGAAACGCCCCCCATCTTCCCAGCAGCACGGCCTCCCGGCTAATACACAGTCACGGTTTTTCCCCTGGTTCACAATTAGACATGCTTTTGTCCTTCCTAAGGTCACCAAAGACACCGTCATTACAAACTGCCAGGGCAGCCGGCTACTCCTCGCACCCGTTGTCAGGAAACTATTCTCACCCACAAGTTTTTTTTTTGTTTTTTTTTATGGGCATCATTTATAAAAACAAAATCGCCGTGTTTCTTCGTGAGAAGCGGCTCACTCATTTCTACGATGTATTTCTGTGCGTGTCTGCCCCTTTTTATACGCCTGTACTTGTCCTCAGGTTCTGAGAATTTACAGGATTGCATCATGACTTTTTCCTGCTGTGACAAGCAAGGGGGATCACTTTTTTTTTCTTGAAATGCCATGCAGATATAGTATGTGTGAAACCCAATACCAGCTTTCTGCTCATTTTAGATCGAGCGGAGTGACTGGATCGACAGTTTTCAAACATTGCATGCGTCGTCTGCATACTAAGTACTGGCATCATTCAGACCGATACCTGTTGGTTCTTTAACACCTTGTTTATGTTACAAATGAAACTTGCTTTTATCTACTGGTCATTTTTTTTTTCTATTTCTGGTCTGGGTTTTCTGTTTTTTCCGCTCCAAATGATGAGACAATTATACAGTATGTGTAAATGTGTGAACAGCCTTGGTGTCTTTATGGTAGTTTATAAGTAACAGCAGTGAAACCAGACTGAAAAAGGAACAGCGATTTCAAAGGTGTCCATCTTGACAATAAACTGAAACAAGAGCCCCCGGGGGTGGGATTAGGGACTGCTTAAAAAGCCCTCAAAACCTGTGTCATCATGCCCAGACCTGAAAATATGCGCACTTATGTATTAATTATGTTTTAAGAAATTCATATGACTCGTGTGGGGAAGCTGATGCACTTCCACAAAGGACAGATCCGACATGGGGCTCAAAACACTGTCCGCAGGGCAGCCAAGGAGGCACCGCACAGCTCGGAGACCGGGTGAAGGTAAACAACAGGCTCAGGCTGCCCGTCCCGAAAGCTACAAACCAGGGCCAGGCCAGGTGGCCGTCGCAACTCACAGTCAAAACATTCTCATGAGTCATTTCCCGAAACCTACAGTTTTTATGTATATAGCTTCACTTTTTCACCAGAGCAACGCAAACCAGGTACGAGAATGAAGAGGCAGCAGCGCAAGTTGACGAGGGGAAATCGAGGCCAGTAGCTGTTTTGGTCAAGGCCACATCAAGTGCACACAAACAAAACTGAATCAGTTTATTTCAGATGACCGTGTGTGTTATGTGGGTGGGGGTGGGGGGGTTATATTTAAGGTAAATTCCTAAGTCACAATGTTACATTTTGGGGAAGTACTCACCAAGTGTCGCTCTTACTAAGAAAATGAATGATTTCTGAATCTTTTACAACGCCAGCAGGCAGAAGTCTCCGTCTTGATTTACGGCATAATCAAAGTGACATTTTAATGATGAAAGGAGCTTCTAACACCGATTAGAAACTATTCAATCTGTGATATAGTCTGCAGGCTTTCACTTAAATATTCACGTAAATATTTGCTTATAGATCCATCCAGGCAGACTGTCTGCTGAAATCAGACAGCATATTTAATGGGCTGCTTTTTAACTGGGGTATTTTTGAAACACTTAAGGCCAGACTTATGCACAAGCTTACCTCTGCAGCCCAGCATTTTTTTCTAGCCGTTACAGCAGTATTTTTCTCTGTAGGTACAGCCCCCAACATTTACTTTACTGGCTGTAGGCCAGGATCCCCTGCCCCCCTAAATTTGGTCTTGGAAAAGCTGTACCCATTGCCCCCCCCCCCCCCCCCCCCCCTTTTTTTTTTTGGGGGGGGGGGGGGGGGGGGGGGAGCCCAGCCTGTACGTTCCAGCCGCCGACGGGTTTGTCTATAACAGGCCTCTCAGTACAAGCATCAGGTGCATAAAATGGACCGACCGCAGCTGGCAGGTGTGGAGTATGCAGCAACTCCAAGGCTCCATGACGGCAGGTCAGGTCAGGAGTCCCAGTAAAACGCGTCAGCTGGGCTGTCTGGCGTAAATGCAGAGCCATGCCTTGGGCCTAGAGGCCGGCTCTCTAGTCAGTCGGTGTTGTAAGAGAACTGAAACACACCCTTGTGCATGTCTAAGCTTGCAGTAGATTTGGTTTTTTTCCCCTTCCTTCTCTCTCTCTCTCTCTCTCTCTCTCTCTCTCTCCCCCCCCTCCCTCTCCACTGCTGCACACAGGAAGTCAGGCACTTCCTCAAAAGAACGCCGATGAAAGGGTAAACAAGTTTCTACATCTTTTTGAAGCAAAACAATTTTTTGAAATTGCTAGGCTGTATCCGCGCCCGCATGGCTAAATATGCTGAGCACAGAGATCAAGAGAGAGAAAAATATACCGGGCGGAAATTCAGGTATATTTGTGGCCAGGTTAAAAAAAATATGTATATATTCAATAATTGTAATTTTTAGGGGTAAACTCATTGGTTATAATACTTGAAAGATCAAGTGTTTAATATCATTTAAATTCTAAATATTTTGAAGAATACTTCTTCAAAATTTAGACCACTAGTTTTTTTTTAAGTTGAAAGAGAAAAAAAGCTATATAAAAAAAGATATTCAGTTTGGTGCTGTAAAATTTTCAGTGCATGTTAATAAAGCATCCCTTTTAAAAATCTCTCACATATTAGGGGCCTGATGAAGATCTCTCTACATTGGGTGTAGTATGTGACTCTGGTTACTGGGTTTGTCCCTGTTCATGAGTTTATCTGAGGACACAAACTGCAGCAGACATCAGCTAACTGCGCCCTGAAAGATTTTTGCCTGATTATTTGAACACTAACCCCCCCCCCCCCATCTACTAGTCTTATGGAAGAAAGTGGAATAAATTCTGTGGACGAAGCGACTAAGACGGCATAATTCAAGTTTATATTTTCATTAAATCACGCAGGGGTGAATCCAGCCATACAATGGAAATGAAACGTAGGATTCGGGCGTCGCCCTTGTATGAGCGCAGAACACGCTGGGGTGCGGCACGAGTCAGTGACTCACGCGCCGTGGACGCTGTCCTTCCGTAACACTTCACGCACTGTGCTACAGTACCTCCACCACAGCCAGGGTTTGGCACGAAACACCCCGAAATCCCAGCTGTGTCACGGCTGTCTGGAATACGGACTTATCAGCATAAAACAAAAAAAGTAAATAACCGCAATTGCACAATGCTAATAAGAGAACGGAACACTATAGACGCTGCCTGTTTTTGTTCTGAAAATGCACAGCTCCAGAGTGAATTAAATGTTTATAAGAATATAAATTTCAGTTTAAATATCTAGTTTCGCTAACCTTGATGATATACTTGCTTCCCTGTATCAAGAATTTCATTCGTCAGCTTCCAGGATTCTCAAAGCAAGATGTATCTCCATTTTATGATGATGGAACCTTAATCTTAGAAAAATCCTTTGGAATACTCCGTCTGCAGCCTTTTCGTTTTATTCCATCAGAGTATCTTAAACCACGGGAGAAGGTCACCTCAAGATGCGATTCTGCCATTAGAGGCCAAGAGACCCACAGGGCACCATACGATGAGCCAGATTGCTCTTGGGGCAAGTGAACGAGCTCAGGGCTAAGTACCTCACCCTTGGCAATGCCACCATGCCCTGTTGGTAACACCAGTGCCACATTTCAGCCCTTGGCATGAATTCTCCCAAGGTCAAAAGCGAGACACGTTGGCATACAATGTGATCTATCTCTCTGTCCATTCTCTTGGGTTTTTGGCTGAGTATTAAATAACATTCACCGGATATTAACTCTTTGACTTTTCCCAGAACGTGTCTTTAATGTCCGTAATGTGTCCGACTAGGTACAGGTAGATACACGATTAAGTCATTTTTGGCAGATGGTGAAAAACCAATTATTAACCCCAGGTACCACAGTGACCCACCATGTAGAGAAAATTGGATTCAAATCATAGCAGTAAATGGCATATATGCAGAAACTGTTGGATGAATAATATTTTATATGAAGATTACTTCATTCAACCTACCAGTGTAAACTTTTTGATGTGACTCCATAGAATTTGAAGTAGTTCCACTTAGCATGTGTTGATATTGTGACAATAACCTTTGCAAAGATTTTATTTGTTGATAAAAATCAATGCAAATATGCAATGGTTGTTCAAACATCATTGTGGCAGCATGTTTGCATAAAGAGGGCCCACACAGAAGGAGCGGCACACTGTGCTTCCCTTATCTAAACACACTTAAGATTGATTCACAGATACTGGCTTGGCAATGGTGTCTATGGAAACACCAGGATGTGACTCACGGGGCCGACAGTTCATTTCTTTAATGAGTTTTAATTATGTCAGCTTAAACAAAACTAAAATTGCAAATTGATTTATTATTGCCTGCATAATTCTTTTTTAAAGTTGCTTACATAATTCTTTTTATTTATGCATTTTTTTTCCAAGAAATGGTCATAGCAAGAGCAGAATCGCAGTACTGACAGGCGTACAGCCCTCATTTCAGGGCCCTGAACAGACGATGCTGTTTCCGCAGCTTCTGGACTTGACGTCGACCGTCAAAGTCAATCAATCCAAAACTGGGAAATTTTAAATTCTGTGAATTTGTAAGTCATCTGTACAAAGACTTCTAAGCAAGGTCATAAAGCCATGTAGCAGGAAAAAAGGCCAGTGGTAACCTCGTGTGTGCAGGCACATTTTCCCCATTTTGACCCTCCCCCCCTTATGCATTTGTCCACAGGAAGTCGCAGATGGCCAGACACACCCAATAAGGCAGCTCATTGTCCGGTCCACACAAACATACGCAGAGACTTCCCCCCACTGATTTATGACCTTATTTGTTTGTGAATCTGCTCTGTGACCGAATAAAAGCACAGACGGTGTGAACAATGGAAGTGGTGCCAAGTGACCGTAATACACAGAATAGCTCCTCCCTGCTGATTTTGACAGCAATGCCGAATTCACCTGTAGTGGTTATGTGCAGACACGTGTAGACTAGAAGGACAATAACAAGACAGGTTTCTTTCATAAGAAAAACACAGGGGTTACCTGAGAACGGATGCTCAATTCACTGCAGAGATACCTAGCATACCACATGGACTTCCTTAACAGACAGGAAGTGAGATGGCTTAACGAGAGCAGACACATCACATAAGTGCTAGACTCTTGGTGCTTTAATCTGAAAATACCACCAATAATCACAATTTAAAAAAATAAGCAGTATGAATAATAACTGGTTAATTACCACAATGACTTAATGTATTCCTTTTATACAACAGCATTGTTAAACAAGCAAAAAAAACAGTTATTATCTCAGTCACTGTTGCTGTATCATAAACTAAAAGCAAACGAAAAATCTATAATGAAAACTGCAGATTTACAAGCTCAACTTAAGCCTAACAATTAAAACCTGGAAAAGGTGCAGCAGTGCATGACCAAGGTGATAGGTGTGAATGTGCAGCCGGGCTAATTGATATAATTTGCATTATCATCTGTTATTGCAAGTAGATGATTGTGAATGTGTCAACGTAGCGTCATCTTCTACTAATAATGTCCCCTTTAACAGAAGATTTAGGAATAACCATTGTACAACAAGCACTAATCTAACTTTCATTGGGTTCTGTCTCAATATCATTCACAGCATCCAATACGTATGGCCAATTCAATACGCTCATGTTGACATCACATTGCCTATTGTGAATGACAAATCATTGTAACAAAGGAGGGCTGCTGACTAATGGATCATCACTATCAAAGCAGTGAGCCAACAACCTCACCAGAGGTTGTTAAACTCGTAGGAGGTGCTGACAAGGTAGCTAACAGGGATGTACTGTCCGACGTAAACCTTGCTCATCCGCGCACAACAACTCTCATATGTGTGTGTGTGTGTGTGCGCGCACGCATGTGTATATGTGTGTGTGTGTGTGTGGGGGGGGGGGATTATGTTTATTTTAGATTTTTGGGACCAAATGTCCTCCACAATGTAATAAAAACCTGTTATTTTGACATTGTGGGGACCATTTTTCAGGTCCCCACAAAGATCTGTGAATGCAGTCAAAAAACTAAAAATGCCAAAAGTCTCATATTTTGTTTGGTTACTTATGGTTAAGGTTTGGGCTGGGTGGGGATCAAGGTTGTCATGTTGGGATTAAAGTTCTCCCCATAGAAATCAATGGAGAGTCCCCACAAAGATATAATTACAAACCTGTGTGTGTGTGTGTGTGTGTGTTTGTGTGTGCGTGTGTGTGTGTTGCCATGTTACAGCCTTTCATTACCAAATCTGTGAGTCTGTCTACAAGCCCTTCAATGCCCATAATGACTAATGATGCTCCATGGCATCTGTATTTTAATGCATGCGGATTTTGCTCCTCAAAAGCCATTTAAAACACGACACACCTTGGGAATGACGAAGTTGCCCACTGGTAGTTTTTACATAATGATGAGAGTTTTCAGGCGTGAACTTGGCTAACTTTGCTGTCTGGCACGGCGAGTCGGATGGTTTGCTACATCTGCTGAGTGATTATTAAATGCCAAACAACAACATATCAAGTCTTTGTAAAAATGGGTGGTTGGGCTGACTGCCAGAATTAGGTGACTCTCAGGAGAGATAATCGAACAGTGTTTTTATTAACGTACAATTGCAGGGCACAAGTCACAAATGAATCTAAGTCCTGTCCTCAGTTATTCAGAATCCCTAGAAATAAAAATGGCTTTTTTGCAAAGCAATTTTCTCAATTAAATTGAAGGTAATCATATAGAGCAAACGTTAAACGGCAAATATAAAATATGATGTGGTGTTTAATATTGGCATGGGAAATCTGCGTAACCAGAAATATTATTATGACCTCTGTAGTGCGTATAGAAGTGAATATGTGGGCTTGGTTTTGTGTTCTTTTATTTGTGCGTCTTTGTGACGCAGCAGGGTGGCTCAGTAGGTTTGGCGTTTGAGTCCCGCCTTTGTTCTGTGCGTCCCCTCTGGCTTTCCTCCCGTGCTTCAAAGACATGCAGGTAGTTCAATTGGTGTTTTTAAGTTTCCCATAGATTGTGTTTGTATGTGTTCTGTGATGAACCAGCTCCCCATGAATCTGGACTGAAGTCAGATGGATTTTTTTATTCATATCATTGGTTCAACACTTTCATCCTAAGTGACCTAAAATATTTCAAAGGTTTACAGCTTTGGAGCGCTCCCTGTGATTCCAAGACCTTTGTGTTGTTAGCACGATGTCCTACTTGTTGAGTTAGAGGAGCTTTGATACATTTTTGTGCTGTTTCTCCTTCACTTAGTCACTAATACCCAGTTAGCCAGGAGGGTGTTCCACAAAGCAGGATTTCTCAGCCGGGCTAAAATTAAGCTTAACTTAAGTCATGATTGCCCAATAGGAATACTCTTTACCTAAACGCTTATTGGATGAGCATGACTTCTAGCTTAAGTTAACCCAGCTAACTGAGAAATCCTGCTTTGTGGAGCACCCCCCAGGTTTACATTTAATTATTTGCAAGTGTTTGTGTTATTGTAAAAAATACTAGTGCTGAATGCTTCAACAATTTCTTGAATAGTTAATGCAAGCACCGATTTTATTTTTTTTTTGATTCTGTTACTGATAAGCATCCATTTTCTTACAGTCTTCCAAAAGCCACGATGGAGACCTTCAGTTCCAAAGACATGGCCATGAAGGCCCAGAAGAAAATCCTCAGCCACATGGCCAGCAAGACGATGGTGAATATGTTCATTGACGACACTAGCAGCGAGATCTTGGATGAGCTCTACCGGGTGTCTAAGGAACACTCCGGCAACCGTACGAAGGCCCAGAAGGTTGTGAAGGACCTCATCAAGGTGGCGGTGAAGATCGGCGTGCTCTTTCGCCACAATCAGTTCAGTCCAGAGGAGCTTGGACTGGCGGAGGAGTTTAAGAAGAAGCTTCACACAGGAGCTATGACAGCCATAAGCTTCCATGAGGTAATGTTTCAAATTCTAACTTTCCTAAAATCCAAGATTCAGATATAGATGTAACGAAGCATAGATGATGTAAATACCCACGGGTATAAGGACCAGGCAGAACGTGTGGGACGTGTGACTCTAATGTTTAATTTGTCCCCCCCAAAAAAACAGACCTTTGCTTTTAAATTGTTGTGTCCCTCCCAATATTAAATTCTCTCCCATTCTCTTGTAAACACCAATAAATTATTGTTTATTATGTGATCATTTTGGTTTCAGTTCAAATACAAGAAATAAATCACAACAATTATTATCTGTCATTGATGCCATGTGCGGAAGAAGCAGATATAGAAGACTGATGGATCTGTCAAGCCAACGAGTAATTAAAAAGCTAAATAGTTGCTACATATCTGTTCTCTTGCCATTTACCCTTCAGGTGGAGTTTTCCTTCGACAAAGCAGTGATGGCTGGCATCTTAACAGAGTCCCGGGACATGCTACTCAAGCTGGTAGATAAGCACCTCACCCCAAAGTCGCATGGGCGCATCACCAATGTCTTCAACCATTATGCAGACCAGGATCTGCTGGAAAATCTCTACAATCCCAAAGGGAAACTCTGGCCCCATCTGACCAAAATTTGTGCTGGTCTGGATAAGTTGGTGGAGGATGGGAAACTATGAGGTTGAAGAACTTGGGGAGGGACTGGGTTAGACCTCAACAGGGGAGGTGCAAAGACCTGGCTGAGTCATCACACAAAGGAGGGACTGCAATCTAGTCTTTATCTGTGGACAGTCGGTGGCGCTGCGGATAAAGAACTGAATGTGTCATTTAAATATCAATTCCAGAAAAGGAATCGCTGTTGTACTTTCAAAAAGGTACTTAAATATAAATTCCTTGGAAAATATATGGCCTTAATAATGAATCGAAGTATATAATTGTAAGCCTTGGATAGAAGGGCCCAATGGCATACAAAAAGAGTCATACAGTTTGGTGAGTGGTTTTGTTAACAAACAAGAGACTACATCTGTACATTCAGGCAACAATGTTATCCCGTCCATCGAATATTTAATAACCAGGCTGCATTGCATTGAACCTTTAACCATAAATGAGAATATCGCTCATCCTGGGTGGTCATTGTTAGGTGATTCCCACTGATGTAGCAATATTGTTGACCACTGTTTTTTTTATATATATATATAATAGTTTGAGGAGCATTTTAATTTATTTGTTCACTGTATAGATATGTATTTTCCAATTGCCAAAAGTGTTACAAGCAAGCACTGAGTCTTTGTCCTATTTTAAATACTCTATATGTCCCTATGTGTTTTATCTGTGTACATCAGTGATTGGGGAAGAGTGCTTTAACATGAGGAGGAAAAGACAGGGCAGAAAGCAAATGTACAGCTCTGGAAAACATTAAGAGGCCGCAGCACAATTTTTTGTTTCACTCATATCTCAATTTATGGGTGTGTGTCTGTGAATTATATATATAGCCTGGTTCTTATCCTGCTTCTCATTAATGAAGGGCTTCTTTCTTGCTTCATAGTACTTCAGTCCTGTTACTAGGAGCCTGATACTGTCCTAGCAGTGCACTTCACACCTGCACTTAATGTTTCCCATTCCCTTTGAAAGTCACTTGATGTCATCCTTCAATTCATGAGAAACTGTCAGATAAGTTAACGGTCATCTCTGCCATTAGAAAGTCGCTTCCACCCTCTATCCGGCCGGTTTCTTGTCGTTCCCAGTGTCTCCAGCTTCACGTTGTTCTTTGAGCTTGGAAGCCACCCACTGCTCAGTATAGCCTTCTGCCAGCAGAACCAGGATTAAACCAGAATTTTAAAATACAGATTTGCTTAAAAATATGGTATTCTCTTAATTTTTTCCAGAGCTGTGAATTGTACCTTGGGTTTACCACATGGAGATATTAGGGACCGTAAATTCAGGTGCTCCATCTAGTGTTCAAATTGAGTAACACAGGATGAACGTCACTCATTTCTTTTCCACTCCAAACGTAAAATTCATCATCCAAATATTAGCACGGTGACACACCATGACAACTTGAAATTTGCTGTGAATCCATTTACCAAATGGGAACTGAATACTGAATATAATCTTGACTGTTCCTTACTATTGCAACAACATATTTTCCTGTTTGTATGATTTTTTAATAAAGAATGCTCCTGTCACAACAATGTGTCATTTGTTTACGTTTTATATAAAATTATATATTAATATATGGGGTTATATAAGGATAAGTGTGCCCATTCGAGCGTGCTCTGTTTAGTGGATGTGCACACATGGGTCACTGCTAGATTGAAACAAATGTTTCATGTAAAAGTCACCAAAATGCCCAAAAGAACATTCTTTTCCATCTACCAAAACCATAACCAAAAATAAACACCAGCTCAAAGCACTTTCAGCTTCCAGGCAGGACTACGTAAGTGTTCTCGGATCTGCTTTGCCACCCAGCATTTAATTGCCACGTTCCAGTGCTGATTCAGCTTGAGCAGCTCAGGTGTGGCGCTTCGTCAGATGGGTGGAAGGCTCTCTGCCCGGAGCCCATTCCCTACATGCCAGTGTCACACCAAAAGGTAATTTCATGTTGTCTTCCTCATATCCTTATCTTTTTGGGATTGATGTCCTCAGACACTGAAAAAAAATACATTTCCCCACTTGGTGTCACTGTAACAAACATTAAGAGACATTTGGCAAACCTTTCAAATGCTAATCCCCCCCCAAGCCCGTCCCTGTGTTTGACAGCCAAAACCAAAGAATTAACGCAACGAAGGATGATTCACCATCTAGACAGGAAAGGTGTGGCAAATGCAGTGTCAGTCCCCCTTTTCACGGTGAGTTGGTTTGATCTGATTTATTACGATTAAGCCCCAAGTGGAATGCTCCAAATCAGCAACAGGTAGGCAAATAATTTCACAAATCTGGGCGCCACCTGGCAGACTTCAGCCAAGGGCCTCAGAGTAATCTTCCTGTGATCCTCCATTGTACACTCAAGCTGTACTCATTTCCTTGTGGTTTAACTGCAGTAGAGAAACGGAGTTTCGTTTCTCATAAAAAAAGAAAAAAAGAAAAACTAAACGCGCACTTCAGCTAAATTCGACAGAAAACGTGAACTGAATATCTACAGATATTACCATGGATCATGGGTAAGAAAAGTCTGCTTAGTGCTTTGCAGCAGCAGAAAGATGACATGTTTTTGCAGAACCTCAGCAACCCCCCACACACACATACACACACGTTCACACCCACCGCATATCATGTTCAAGTCCAGCTCCTATATCCGATCACCCAGATTTAACCCATGTGTTGCAAATGTGACAGTATTCTACCACACGCAAATCACAGCAAAACAGTGACACTGAGTAGAACAAGCCAGCCCAGCCTGATGAGCAACTCAACCATGATATTATGGGGTGGAAAAAAAAGGAACAAAATGTCGAAGTGAAAAGGTCTGCAGGCAGCTACAGCGTCAAGCTTTCCTCTAGATCAAGAAATTCTCAAGAGGTTAGCAGCTGTTCGTTTGCGCAGGAAATAAATCTGACTTCGTCTTCATGGGAGCTGCCTTCAGCCCCATAAAAAGATATTTTATTTTAAGCACTTTGTAACTTGACACAGAGGGTTTTTTCATTGCCTTAATAGAGCCCTCCTACAGCCTTGTAGGCCTTGGGTCAGCACTGGTGGGTCAGTCCTGGTGGGTCAGCACTGGTGGGTCAGTCCTGGTGGGTCAGTCCTGGTGGGTCAGTACTGGTGGGTCAGTCCTGGTGGGTCAGTCCTGGTGGGTCAGTACTGGTCCTAGCCAGTGTGGCGCCCTAGGCGAGCATCACCGCCAGCGCCCCCCACTTGAGGCAAAGTGAAATTTTCTGGCAGTTCGGCGCCCCCCTCAGAAGTTGCCGCCCTAGGCAGTCGCCTGTGTCGCCTATAGGATTGACCGGCCCTGATGACATCATCTTTACTGTAACGTTTTTCCTCCTCTTCTTTTCTTTTTTTGCTCCCCTGGGCACCAGATAATTTAGGGCGTTTTGACATGTTGAGCCTGTCGACAGATCAAAAAATGACCATCCCCCCCAAGTAGCAGGTAAAGGCTAATTAGACAGAGGAGGGGGCGGCGTGGGGGTGGGGGGGCACCGTGGTGACTTCATAGGAAAGTTACGTATCATTACTATTATTACTACTACTACTTAATAGGCTTTGCTAAGCAGGTAAATTCATGTGGGCTTGTTCTTTTCATATTAAGACACATTAATAGCATCTAGTGTTAAGAATAGTGGAATCTTACACTTTTTTTCTTCCTTTTCTTCCTCCGTTTGTGGCCCCCCCTGGATGGATGGCGCCCTTAGCATTGGCCTATATTGCCTATGCCACGGGCCGGACCTGCCTCAGGAATACATAGGTTTAGGTGCACAAGGATTCTGCTGGGTCCTTTCTGGGTGGCCCTTTGTTCAGGTGGGCAATAGGTCATCATGATCGCCAAGTCAGACCTTCACCACGAGCACCATCCTGTAATCGCCATCGCCTTTCGCCTGTCCTAGTCATTCATGCAGCTGTTGAGACAATTATCCTTGTGAACGATTCCATTTTCTGTAACCGCTGACCCTGTTCAGGGTGGTGGGGGGTCCATAGCCTATCCTGGAGGCTACAGGCGCAAGGCCGGGAACAACCCAGGATGGGGCGCCAACCAATGGCAGGGCACAGTCACACACCCTTTGTGAATGATTATCATGTTCCTAAATCGATGACTATTTTCTATAATCCGTTGCCTCTTTTACCTTTAATGTTCTATTCTTTACTTGCCATTTGCACAAGTACAGGTGCACTGGAATTCGTCTCTTTGCCTGCCCCATCTTGCTCTCCATAGCTTGGGGGGTCACAGCACAGGATCTTACAGCGTGTGGCCCCCCCCTGGGGTTGGGGGTTAGGGGCCCAGGACTAAACTTACAACCCTCGGGTTGGTGCAACATTCTTATTACAGTTATATATTTCACTAATTCATATATCTAGATGCTTTTTATTTCGCCACCTTTACGAACAGCAGCTGAACGAGGCCAAGTGAGTTTGCTTATTGAATTTCATACATCTGGCTCCATGTCAAATATGTATTATCTGCAGTTCTGCTTAGCTGAATTTTATATATTACACAACTTAAAATACCCTCAGCAGGAGTTAATAAAATCTAAATGTATTTAACATTTGGAATAGAAGAAGTGAAATCTAATGGCTTCCCCTACATGGCTGAGGCTTGGTTTGTTCAGATCTATTGCTGTGTTGGAGGTTGTCAGTGACCATGTCATCTACAGTGTACAGTATATATCAGCTCAGTTCAGCTAATCCTTCAGTTGCATTGACCAAAATACCTAGTTTGAGATCCTTCATCATGAACAAGTTAATAACAACCTTGTTAACTGAGAGGATTCCACTCAAACTAATTATATACATTTTTTCTGCTAATATATATATAGAACAAGTCATTTGCTGAACACCAAAATATCATTGCTGATTTTGATTTGCCAATTAAAAAAAAAATCATTTGCATGTTCTATACTTTTCTATATGTCTATATTGCTGCATGTAAAACCCACGACAAAATGACACAAACAGCGTGGAGAATTTAACCTTTATTCATATTATTTACAGAATAGGATATTTCGTCGTTTTGCCCCATAGCACCAGTCTGAGGTCGAGCGCTGGTCTCATAGCTTTCATGCCGATCACACATGGACGGCGTCGCCGTCACGCGGCTCTGCCCTTTCTTTAGGCATGGCCGCTCTGTAAGCGTTACGACACGAGCCGCACAGGAACACCCAGATGAATGACTCACTCACACGTAGCTGCAGAGGGGTTGCAGAACTCAGACGACAGGATGGTGGACTTTGCACATTTTTCGACGAATGGCTGACAGGGTGGAGACAGAGTAACACGGAAGGGGGAGGGGCTTTAAGGCATTACGGCACAATACATATAATCCAGCGCTGGGGGGTTACGGGGCTTTTGTTGCAGTAGTTGGACAGGGTGGCTTCTGTAAGTGAGCGGGCAAACCTATCAGCCTTGGACACATCTTCTCATTTTACTCTCTTCTTGCGGACTGTAAGAAATAAAACCATGACTGTTATAAGCTAAAGAACAAGGACCATGGTATTAGCTACCTTGAAGGAGAAGTGTTTGACACCAGCCTGTGAAATTCTTTCAGTAAAAGAATGATTTCCAATATAAAAGCATATACTATTACAAGGAATACAGTCTTAAGCCCTAGAAACTTTTACACATTAACACCTAATTGCCAATAACAGAGATTCTTGCCAAGGACCATATTAAAATACATCTCCGTGCAGAGTCATATTGGCATAAGAAGCCTTGAGAGGATGTGCACTTACAGACGTCGTTGTTTCGGGTGATCGCCATGGAAGCGCGGGCGCGTGGACCCTGCTGATTGAAATGGTACCCAATTTTGAGGATGGAAGGGTTTTTCTCCAGCATTTTGGCAATCTCCATCTCCACTGAGTCTCCCAGCTGCTGTCTCTGTGGACAGAGAAGAGAGCAACATTAGCTCCCATTAGTGATGGCCAAATGAAGCTTCATGAACCAACTGCTGTATTTTCTGACACCACTAGATGGTGCTATCTATTAAAAAAAAACAGCTCAATTCATGCCCCATAGCAAACCAAGAGCCTCATCTAGTGAGGTCAGAAAATATAGAAAATGCCTCATGAAGCTTCCTTTGGCCATAACTAGCTCCCGTTCTTCACTGTGGTAGATGTTTGGAGGACTGGACCTGGGATACGTAGGTAAAACAGGGATTTGGGGAGCCCTGGAGTGTCCGTGCATGACTGTAGAGTTAGCATCAGGCTACCCCTGGGAAATAAACAATGGTGACATTGTGAAGAGGTCATCTGTTTTTAGAGACCACTTTGTGTCAAGTGTTAGCAGCATCTCTGATTTATCGTCGCATAAAAGGCATTATGGCACTGTGTTCTGGGCAACTTATATTGGCTGAGCAAAACTGCAGGACATAGCTTTGTATTTATGACTGCTCATATGACTGTCTATAAGCCCTCTGAATTTCACGGCTTCTCACTGAGAATGGGGGGGGCAGATATTTCAAGGACAACTGATCCACAACAGCTTGAGGGTTCCTGAGCAATTCTGATGTCTCATGTGACCTTACAGTAATAGTCCAAAA